ACCTAGATTTCACAGACAGCCCCTATGCAGGTGATGTCGTGAATTTTTAAATTTTATTTTGAATATTCATCACAATATTGCACATATCAAATTTAGAACAACAACATTACTGATGCTCCTCCCACAAACTCAATCTCCACCTTAAAATATTGTTTCATTGGCTCGGAAACAAGAGCGGGCGGCGCTAAATTGTAGTATATTGTGTCTACTTTCACATTCTTATGTAAACGTTGGTAGCAAGGTCGTTTTTTGAATACCTAGGCGATAAAATTAAAAAAAAAAGGTCTCTATAGATTTAATTATTTGTCAATTTAAATACAACTTGCATCTCAGAGCCAACAAAAAGGGTCATCAGAATGGAGTAAGGGTGGGAGGGTGGGGCTACCGTCTTATATGTAAGCAATAGCCCCGCCCACCCAGCCGTCTCTTGATTCTACCTACTATTATGCCTAGGCGATAAAATTAAAAAAAAAGGTCTCTATAGATTCAATTATTTGTCAATTTAAATCCAACTTCCATCTCAGAGACAATAAAAAGGGTCATCAGAATGGAGCATGGGTGGGTGGGTGGGGCTACCGTCTTATATGTAAGCAATAGCCCCGCCCACCCACCCGTCTCTTGATTCTAGTGACTGATCTTAATACTGTTAATTAATGGAAACATTATTATTTTATTAGAATCTTAGATAAATAAGTTATTGGCAAAAAAATTGATAAATCGTAAACAAGTATCTAGAAAGTGTTAAGCTGGTATTAAATAAACATATCAAATGTGAGAATTATATTTAATAGGCAACATTACTGATGCGCCTCCTATTCACTCAAGCTCCACCTTAAAATATCGTTTCATTGGGTCGGAAACAAGAGCGGGCGGCGCTAAATTGTAGTACATTGTGTCTACTTTAAATGATTTTTTTTTTAATATTCGTATGTAAACGTTGGTGGGAAGGTCGTTTTCGAATTAGTGTTAAAATAAAAAAAAAAGGTCTCTATAGATTCAATTATTTGTCAATTTAAATCCAACTTCCATCTTAGAGACAATAAAAAGGGTCATCAGAATGGAGTAAGGGTGGGTGGGTGGGGCTGCCATCTTATATGTAAGCAATAGCCCCGCCCACCCACCCGTCTCTTGATTCTAGTGACTCATCTTAATACTGTTAATTAATGGAAACATTATTATTTTATTAGAATGTTAGATAAATAAGTTATTGGCAAAAAAATTGATAAATCGTAAACAAGGTATCTAGAAAGTGTTAAGCTGGTTTTAAATAAACATATCAAATGTGAGAATTACATTTAAAAGGCAACATTACTAATGCGCCTCCCATTCACTCAAGTTCCACCTTAAAAAATCGTTTCATTGGCTCGGAAACAAGAGCGGGCGGCGCTAAATTGTAGTACATTGTGTCTACTTTAAATGATTTTTTTAATATTTCTATGTAAACGTTGGTAGCAAGGTCATTTTTCGAATAAGTGTTAAAATTAAATAAAGTCTCTATAGATTTAATTATTTGTCAATTTAAATCCAACTTCCATCTCAAAGCCAATAAAAAGGGTCATCAGAATGGAGTATGGGTGGGTGGGTGGGGTTACCGTCTTATATGTGAGCAATAGCCCCGCCCACCCACCCGTCTCTTGATTCTAGTGACTGATCTTAATACTGTTAATTAATGGAAATATTATTATTTTATTAGAATCTTAGATAAATAAGTTATTAGCAAAAAAATTGATAAATCGTAAACAAGGTATCTAGAAAGTGTTAAGCTGGTATTAAATAAACATATCAAATGTGAAAATTACATTTAGTAGGCAACATTACTGATGCGCCTCCTATTCACTTAACCTCCACCTTAAAATATCGTTTCATTGGGTCGGAAATAAGAGCGGGCGGCGCTAATTTGTAGTACATTGTGTCTACTTTAAATGATTTTTTTTTAATATTCGTATGTAAACCTTGGTGGCAAGGTCGTTTTCGAATAAATGTTAAAATTAAAAAATGGTCTCTATAGATTCAATTATTTGTCAATTTAAATCCAACTTCCATCTCAGAGCCAATAAAAAGGGTCATCAGAATGGAGTAAGGGTGGGTGGGTGGGGCTACAGACTTTTATGCAATAGCAACAAAGTAGATTGTACACACTAAAAAATGTTGCAACCATACCTGATTGTTAAAATGAATTTGGTTGTTATATCCCTATTTATTGTTGGCTACATTATAGGTGAAAAAAAGTAAATAGTTGTAACAATCATACAATTTTGGTTAAAAACCATATAGTATCAATAACTATATGTGTAGTACTCTTTTGACATAACTCTTACTAAATGGTTGTAACAACCATAATGTTTGGAAGTAATCTGCCATACTATAACCTTTTGTTGAACAAACCACAATTATAGTTAAATTTAATTTAACCGCCATCGATTCGACCAATGGCATAATTTCCCACTTAGTGCCAGACAATTGTCGGCACATTTGTGGTCGTCCGCAGTCGTCTTTGTGTTTTGATTCGTTATCCCAAGAATTAAAAAATTACAGTTTACCTAGTTGGTGTTTTCTGATACTGATAATTCATTTTGTGGTGTTGTGACAATGGAAAATGTAAAAAAATATTTACAAGCATGGAGTTTGTCCCATCTCATTGCTAAATTTGAAGGTAAGTAGCTAAATATACGTGCTTCATTTAGTATAATAGTTGCAATGTAAGCAATCAAGACTTGATGCAACGATCGGTTTCGTGTTCATTTGTTTTAAGTCATATAAGGATAAGGTATGTTTGAATTAGTTCATTTTTCCATAAAAATATGTTATTTTAAACATTACTTTAAAAATATGCCAATTAATATAATACAATCTTAATGTTAAATACTTTGTTCCGTTGTAAATTAAACAAATTGTGTAACGTGATGCAAGTAACATCATAGTGTGTGCGATTAATAAAAATCTATGCTGGTATATTTTTCTCGTCATGGGTTAGTTATGCACAACGGGGTCAGGGGTTGAGAAAAACAGTGTCAACTGAGGACGTTCCTCTACGAACGCACTCTACATAATTATTTGATGAGTACGTTGATGGTACAGGGTACCATTCAAATTAAAATTGCTAAATTGTAATAAAATTCAAATATGGTGTTAAAATGGAATCTTTTTCCAAATACTCATACACCGAAGTGTGCTATGGCCAAAAAATTTCTGATTAATCTTTTATTCAGTTCAGTTCGTACTAGGTAAAACCCATAATAATGTTTTATGATACATTTGATACATTCCTGGCAGAAACGGACTGATTTCTGAAAAAGTTATAAAATCAAATTTGGTCTTAGTTTTTTTAACGGTATTATACGGTGTCTGAGCCATATATTGCCATATTCCTTATATTGTCAGGCCTAAAAATCGCCTAAATTCTAAACAATTGAATCATATACGGCTTTAAGTTATCTTTATAATGGGCAACTCGTATTCACGTAACAATCGTTTATATATAGCTTTCAGGTTTCAAAATTTAATTTGCCAACAAATTTTAAACCTTAAGATGGCAATATTTGGCTTAGGTACCTTACATAGCCACACACTTTTGATACTAAGACAAACGCAGTTGTGTCGAATTTTCCATTGAAATTTGCACCATGGAGTTGCGGCACCTCTAGTAGGCAGTGCAAGTTGGCGCAATTTATCTCGAAAAAGTGCGTTTGTTTATTCCGTCACCCCTAGCAACCAGCATTTGATACCCAAATTAGCATTATAAAGTTGCGCTGCACCAGTGACTTGCGCCACCAACTTGGAATTGGCCCCTGACACTGTATTTTTTTGTGATCTTCACCAACCTTTTTCTTTTAAATTTTGGAGAATTAAAGCAAAATCGTGTAGTATCTTTTCCTTTTAAAAGTAACTTAAAATGTGGTTTGCCAAAATGCATACATAAGTATGTACAATATAAATTGTTCGTTTCCATAACTGTAACAACGAATAAATAACTGTAAATTTTATTAACATCACTTTTAAATGTTGTAATATTATTTTTCAGAAGAAGCGATAGATGATGATACATTCTCAAAAATTAACACAGATTCACAAGATTTCAAAGAACTGATTGCAAAGTATGGGGACAGAATTAAATTTAAAGAAGGTTTTAGACAGTTGTACAATAGAATTGGCGAAGAAAATGTAATAACAGATAATAACTGCTTAGAAACAATAGTAGTTAAGACAAATGATGCTCCTAGTGATACTTCAGGTAATGTATGGTTTTAAGTGAAAACATATTTTTATGTATATAATTTTAGTTTACAAAGAGACACAAGAACCCATTCCCAGCACTAGTAAAGGCACGTGCGCTACAGTTTATAGAGTGGATGATAATTTACCTTTAGGTACTGTATGATATTTGGTAATGACATATATATACAGGGGTGAGTCACTAAGCGATAACTCAATTATTATTGAAACTAGAAAAGTTGTCCGGGTCTTTGAGTATCATTAAATTATTTTTAACTACACAGAATGTTCTGTGTCTGACACATACTACACAGCTTAGCTTTTTTAATGTAGCACCTTACTTATATTTTTACATATTCTCAGTGGCTTCTTCCTCAGGTTTAGAACCGTAAATTCCAATGCGACGTTGTCACGTAATTCCACTTTACTTGATATTTTTTAACAATGCAATGGTACATAAAAATGTTTTATAATCATCGGAGATGAATATACACGTTTGATCATATTCGCAGAAACATAAAATTCAATTAGTCATTCATCAATCATCAGTTATGTCGATCATCTCGATAATGTGACGTATACAAAAAAAAAAAAAAAAAAAAACTAATTGCAGATTTAGAATCAGCATGCCCAACGTAGTAAAATCACACACTCTATTCTTTGATGATTTTTTGTTGTTTAATGAAATATCAAGGACCAGGTGCTTAGTGACTTACTGTTATTTTATTAAGAGTGAAGTTTTATGTTTGAATGGTGTTTTTAGATATTGTATCGGTACCGTATAAACGGTGTGATTCGTTTTTGGAAAAACTTCCAAATCTGGAAGTGACATACGAGCTTGTAAGTAAACACATATATTTTTTTGTAAGATGTCATTGCTTTGTAGGATTTGAAAAAATTTTTGCAAAATTCTATAAAAGGTCGTAATATATTGGCCCAGAAAAACCATTTAACACCGCAATTAAGAGATGATCTCGTTGCATTATTAATCGATCACGATTTACTACAAGACATTAATTCCTAGTATGTTTTAACGAAAGAACTGAAAATCGAACATACATTTTTGTAAAAAATTGCTATTTTAGTATTCCGACCAGAAGACTTTTACAATTAGCCCGCCTCATAAAGCAAGAATTCCCGAACCAAGATATTTCCACATACTATATACCGTATGTTAGACAAAACAAAAAAACTGTCCAGTGTATGAGGGGTAAATTAGTTGATCGTTACCATAATCAAAGAAAGAAGTTGAAAAAATCTGGCGTTCTCACCACTGCGTGTCCATCATCACGCCTTGAAGTTCATGAAACTGTAGAAATAGCGAGTACGTATGTAATTAATTTTTGAAGATATAATTCCTACGCTTTTTTTTAATAGGTAGTCAAGATTACGAGGATGACGTGGAAGACTTTTGTTGTTGGTTAAGGTATAATACAGAACCTTGGCCAGAAGTTTTGGCTAAATGGAAGGCCACTACATGTGTAAGAATTCCCCGCTATAACCAGAATACAACCACAACTATCCAAGAATATTTTCAAGAATATAAAATTTTAGAAAAGTCCTTAGGTTATCAATTAGTAAGTAATATAACAGTATATTATGTAAGTTCACATTTTTATAGGTGGTATATTTTTTTAGCTGGAAATTGATTTCAATTATCTTTATCCCAAAAAATCAGAAATATTTTTTGCCGAAATACATAAAAAAAAACATATTATATTACGATTGGCCCAATACCGAGGCGTACTGACTCAACATTTTCCGGATCAAAACATTAATATTTTGAATGAAGGTAAAACCAACTGATTTATTTCTTTGTAATTTGAGTTAATAATAATTTTCTGTTTAGACGCCACTGCTGTTCTAAGTTTATTAACACTACCGTATCTAATGCCAGTAGTGATTGTTACGACAAATAAAAAGAAATGGAAACCGTCTAAAGTTGAAGTAGCGAAGAGTTTCATTACTTATGTGAAAACCAGTGAAGAGATGCAATTGATGTTGGAACGAAGACATCGAAAATATGCGGAAACCAAACAATTATGCCAACCTCTAATAACAATTGTAGGACCAGATTTGAACAACCTGAAGGGCTATATTTCCATCGATAACTGTACATATCCTTTTGAATCGGCCTTGAAAAGTGTAAACACTTGTTTTAAAATAATTCATGCAATTGTTGCAGAATATCCACCTGAATGTTCTCATGTTTGGCAGTTAATACAAATTTACATCTATGATTTAAAGACAGAGTGGGACAAAAAGTCTTCAATTGTTTCTGCTCTGATATCTGATTTGTGTAATGAATCTGAGAGTGAGAAGTAATATTTAAAAATAATGAATTGTTGTCACAAATTTTCAAGTTCAAAAAAAAATTTATTATTGCATATGAAGTATAGACATTCCTATGATGGTAAATATATTCGCTGCATTTCGTATTCGTGTCAAAGAGAATTTAGTTCATACAACTCTTTTTACAAACATCTTTCAAATTTTCACAGAAAAAACTTTCTGAATACTCAGTGGTTGTCTAACAACGTTACAGGTCAGTGTAGTAGTCAAGATACAAATTTTACACTACCTTTATTCCATACAGCTCCCAATAGTGTTGTTTCAGTTTCTGATTATTGTGAACCTTTTAGTAACAGATTATATAATGACATAATTGCAAATAAGGAAAATCAAATTGAGAGTAGTATTGCGCTTTTTATTTCTCACTTATATAAAAGTAACTCAGTGCCCCGTTCAGAAGTGCAAAATATAATCTCTAGTGTTAGAGATTTACTTTCAGAGATAGAACATATTTTAAAAGCAACTTTTGATCCATGCAATATCAAAAATAATGAATTAGAATACATTTCTTCAAGTTTTTCGTATGTTCAAAGTAAATTTAAGTTGTTCAGATAAGAACATATGATATTTAAATATTTAGAAAAACACGACTTATATATTAAACCTGTAGAAATTGTTCTTTCTGAATCACTACAAACTTACTCAGAAAATGTGTGTCCCAAACATGTTAGCATTAAGGAGACAACTGTTTTCATTCCTTTACGGAAGGTTTTAAAACGCGTGTTTGAACTTCCTAATGTTTTAAGTGCAACTTTAGATTATATAAAATCTCTGGATTCTACGAGTCTCTTTGAGAATTTTGTTCAGTGTAATTTATGGCAAGATATCCGTAAATCATTCTCTGGGAAATTAGTTATTCCCTTATTTTTATATTTTGACGATTTTGAATCAGGAAATGTTTTAGGATCACATTCTGGTGTGAACAAATTAGGTGTAGTTTACATCTCGGTGCCATGCTTTCCAAAACAATTTCAGTCTCTTTTGGAAAACATATTTTTTGTTCAGTTGTTTCGATCTAGTGCTCGTAAAAATATAGGAAATAACATATTTCAGGTTGTGATAGATGAATTGAAATATTTAGAAAGCGTAGGAATTGCAATTAATGTAGACGGTATCAATTACCATTTATATTTTTCTTTGGGATTAATAATTGGCGACAACCTTGGATTAAATTCAATATTAGGTTTCGTTGAAAGTTTTACAGCTAATCGTTGTTGTCGAATCTGTAAAGTAGATAGAGCTAAGATGAAATCTCAGCTGATCGAAGATTCGAGCTTATTTCGTAATATTGAAAATTATTCCGCTGATACATCCAGTTGCGACAGTAGCTCATCTGGCATTAAAAGTCCATCCGTTTGGAATCAGTTACGAAATTTTCACGTAATTAGGAATTTTTCAGTAGATATAATGCATGATCTCCTAGAAGGGGTTTGTAAATATGACCTAGAGATAATTTTGAAAAATTATATATATGAAGCAAAATTATTTTCTCTTGAAGCCTTAAATCAAATGATTTTGGCATTTAATCATAAAGCTCGTTGCAATTTACCTATTATTAAGGAGGAGCATTTAAAGAATGGCAACATAAGATTATCAGCTTCGGAAACCTGATATTTCGTGACTCTCTTTGGAATCATGGTTGGTCATTTGGTCCCTTCTAATAATATTTATTGGCGATTATATTTATCTCTTCGGAGTATTTTAGATATTGTTTTATCTTCAAAGTTTGATATGGACTCTACACTTTTATTAAACAACCTTATTTCAGAACATCACCAAATCTTATGTTCATTAGGGTACAGTTTAAAACCAAAGCATCACAACATGATTCACTATCCTTTAATTATGCGAATGTCTGGTCCCTTAATAAATCTTTGGTCAATGAGATTCGAATCAAAGCATAGAACTCTAAAAAATATATCTAATATTTCTTACTCAAAAAAAAATATTTGCTTAACAATTGCAATCCGACACCAACTAAAACTATGTAACAAATTGATATCTAAGGATGGATTTTCCCGATTTATTGAAAAATCTACAATTACAGAATATAACAAACAAAAAGGATTTATTTATAAATGGATAAAAGTTTATGACAAACTAATAAAACACGGGACTATTTTAATAGTGTATCTCACAGAATCACATCCAGTTTTTGGCAGTGTATGTTCTATTGCTGAAACTGAACTTGATATTATAAAGATAACGTTCCAGTTATTTGAAACTTTAGGTTATGATCAGCATTTACATGCATATTATGTTAAATTACAAAATGACATTAAAACAGAGGAACTTCAGGAGATTGATAAGTTACACGTCAATTGTTTATACCATATGTCATACGATGGAAATAGTTTAATTAATATAAATAGTTCTGTCTAAACAGACATAACAACTGAAGTACATATATTCATCATATATATATTATGTAATAGGCTAATATATAAATATGTTTCTATAATGTTAAGAAGTATTGTTTAATTTTCTTTATATGTTTATATTTTCATTTTATATTCAATATACCTATGCTTTCAATAAAATACGAGTTTTTGTTTAATTCCTTCCAAAAGTGCTAATCAATTAATTAATTAATTAATTAATGGTACGGCAGTAACAACCATAAAATATCGTTCATGATATCATTTATTACAGTTGAAATACATAATTTTTTGTTACGACAATTATCAAATTTTGTTTAATAAGACCGTAGAATATGGTTCCAGCAAGTACAACATTTTTGGCTTTTATAACCACAGTTTTGTGGTTAACAGATTTACAATATTTTAAAGTTCTTGTAACCATAAAAATTAACAATAAATTCATGATGTTTGTAACTAAAATAATCATTGTCCTATATATGACCACAAAATATTGTAGGAATTGCCGATATTATAATTCGTGAAACCATTTATTTTTTAGTGTGTATGCTGGATTCATTACAATTTTATATATTTTTTAAATTGAAAAGTGTGTCAAGTTACAATCTATTCTTCGGTCGTTGTTTGTTACGTGTTGATCAGTGAAAAATCAGCGCCAACTTGATGACTTTTTCAACTGAACATTCGTTAATTGGACAATTTAAAATACAAAAATTGCATATATTTTTAGTTTGGTTATTTCTTTTGGTTATTAAAATTTAAAAAAGTATTTTTGTATATACATATAGAGTTATTTTTGGTATCTGTATCCATTTTTATTAGACAAGTAATCTCCTCAACTACTGGACCGACTGTTGTCACATTTTGTATGTGTACCTATTTGGAATATCATATAATCATCCCGACTAAAAATGGCATGGCGTTATCTCCAAAATTTATAATAAAGTTTTTTTTAAATTCTATAAATAAGGTACGCCTGCACTTGTGGTGTATGAATCCGTGTCCAATTTTCACCCTAGACATCCAGAATTTTTGGAAAAAATTTAAAACTGAATAACAATATTTTGCAATGTAACTTTGAAATTCCAAAACTGATTTCTCTGAAATCTTGTAAATATTTTAAGGTGATCCTAATCATTGTGAATCGTTAAGCAAAATTTATTCGTTTATCCCCTCCCAAAATCTCATGTTCTACATTTTAATCCTATGTTAAATTAATTTTTTCAATATTTCAATTTCACGCACGCAAATGTTCAGTTAATCTTGAATTTTTCGTTTTGGAATTTTTCAATTTTTCAATTTTTCTATATTACAATTTTTCATTCTTCGCGTCTTAATTTTTCAATTTTTCAATTTTTTGTTTCCTCAATTTTCAAATTTTTTATTTTTATTTTTCATTTTCACGATTTTTTT